ACTATGAACGCGGCCGCAAAGGTGCCCGTACAGGTTGTATCTCCGCGAGTATACGATAACCGCACCCTGGAGGCGGGCTCGAGGGAAACGCGTTCGACCAGGTATCCGCGTACGTCGCAGCCGCAACTGAATTCATAATTCGAGGGGGCGAGAACGGTGCGCTCGTGCCTGTGGCCGGGTAATTATTAATTGTGTTACGAACGGCGCGTGTGTATTTGTTGAAAATTACGCGGCCCCCGTTTTAATGACTCGGCGAAACCTCTCGATTGCGATCCCTCACGTTTGCGTCACGACGATCACGTGTGTGTGTGTGTGTGTGTGTGTGTGTGTGTGACGGAGTAATTAGGATTTTTCAATTGTATGCAGTGTTGATTTTTGTTACTTGTTGATTATTCAAGGTGGAGGGAACGATCCTCCACACAGCAGTTTATTTGTCACGATGGTCGCTTTATGTTGGTGTCTAGAAAAGAATTCGTGTGATTAAAAGACATTAGCAATCTTCTGATTGAATGTTAAAATTATTATGCTCGCTCGTGTATATATATAGTCATTTTGCAATATCTTTCGAAAAGAAAATATATATGTACACGTGTAGAGGACAACGTATCATTAAATATGCAGTGTAATGCATGCAGAGAGCGATTTCTGACGGAGAAAGAGGAGAAGCCGCCGATACATTCGGGTATCGCGACAATCCGACGGCTTTCCGAGTAAGACCCGGCGACATTGCAACGTATCGCGGGAGGGGCAGTTGCGATAAAATCCTGGAATCCATAATAACAATAGAATGATAGGGAGGTAAGACGCCTTAATCGCGTGTCGGCTTAACTTCGCGGCGGAAGTTGGGCCATCAGCCGAAGATTACAGCCGGCAGTAAATGCATAATGCACAAAAGACAGAAGACGCCAGAGCTTTGATGCAATTGTGTTTACATGCCACCAACGTCATAGCGCGATAAAGTAGTGGAGATGACCTCGACGATTCCAATTAATCGTCCCGGTCGTTGCGAGTGTTTTAATGGATATCGTATTACGGAGTCTTTCACGAGACTCTAATTTCCCGCGCGATTACGCGTGCACAGATACTCTACTTGACGCGACACATCTCCGAAGCACGTATCTATTTTTCCGCAATCGTGAGGCTAAGACGCAGACGCAATAACGCGTTACGCGCATGCTTGCTCCAAAACGTCACGAAAAAATCGCATGTTTCTTCGCGCTTATATATAGGTTTACCGCGCGATTATATCGCAGAGGATCGCACACGATCGAGGAGGGATTTCTTGATACGGTTACAATTGGAGACTCAATCGCGTGCGATTTCCCACGTATGGGCAACAACGCAACGCACAGATGGCTCAACCGAGCAGAAGAGTCACGATTCGGCGCCAGCCGGGAGAAGCTCGTCTCACATGCCGCCGAACATTCGCTCGAAATAGTAATATCGAGCGGGAAGACCGACACAGTACACAGAATGCGCACTCGTTCTTCCCCTGTGTACTTCGACCCGTCGACTTTACTTTATACCAACAGTGGACAGGTTGTGTTTATTGTGAAAACACGATGGGTACGATCACGCGTGTGTGGATAAGACCGCGTACACACCGCGAGTTGATCATCCCAATGACAGGACGATGATTTTGATCGATAATGTTGCTCCACGAGAGCACACATCGGCGCCGGAACGACCGCGTCGGCGGTCGACGGTGGAGCACACATCCGAGGTGCATCCTGAGAGCAGCAGCACAGTCCTGCAGACCTGCGAATTCATTCGAGCCAGACCGACACGATAAATCCTTCTATCTTCCGTGCAACTCACGCGTGTATTTTTATCGGGGAAACTAATCGATTAAAGTCCGCCTCGGTTTAAAAACGCCCGCGATGCGTCGCCGCGAAAATACAATAGCACTCTTTCGATGTAATAAATATAATGAAAAGGCTGCGCGCGTCTCGATGACTCGCCGCCGCCGCCGCCGCTGCATTCGTCCAGCCGGCCGCAACGTCGTGCGATGCTATCAAAACTCACCACCCGCCGCGCCACCCCACGAGGTTTTGAAAATATTTCGTCGCCCCTTCCCCCCTCCCTTCTACCCTCCCAAAGACATTCTGCCGCGCGCGCGCGCGCGCGCGCGGAGCCGGCGTGTTTTCTCATCGGAGAGACTCGTGACCACTTGCCAGTCTGTCACTGCGCTCGTCAACCCCTTGCAACGACCGCGCACTTGACTCGTCGCGCTCCCGTCGCGCCACCACCACCCCCGAAAACGTTCGCCTAACTGCGAAGGTAACGCGAAGTAACGCTCCGACCCCTCGTAGCCTATTCCGGGTTGCCGGCTCGCGCACGAACAATATTTGCAGAGCTCTTATTCCCAACCCCCGTGAGCGGCGCTTCGGCCCCCGCTCGCCCCAGCCGCCCGTTTCTCTTTCCACCCCTCGTGTGCACCAGCAACCACCTACCTACCTACCTAATAATGATTTTACGTTACGCCACGCTGTTCCCCGGGGAATCCGACGGTGCCGCACCCTTATTGCACATGGCCCGTGCTCGGTACGTAGGGTACGTAGGCCGTCGGCCGAACGGGGGTGTCGGAAAGAGAGAGGGAGGGAGGGAGAGAGAGAGAGAGAGAGAATTGATTATCATTAGCAGCGGAGTCCCAGAACACCCCCGGCGCTGCCTGACGCACGTACGCACGCAGACGGCACGTCGTTCCAGGTCGTGGGAGCAACGAGATTTGCTCGTGCGTATGATAAAAAAAAGGAGAAAAAAGAGCGAGAGAGAGAGAGGGAGAGGGAGGGAGGGAGGGAGGTCGCGCGGGGAGTGAAAATAGTACGTCGAATCGATTTCACGAGCGTGTGTACTAGTCGGCGAAGGTGTGTACGTTGCTGAAGAAGCGGCGCGGGTGAGACAAATTTTGCAGACTGATTAGATTTTGATTTCTCACCGGAGTGAATCTTGCGGCGGAATATCGAGTAAAATCGAATCTTACGACACACTGCTCCATATCCTCGCGAGAAGGGCGAGAACGGTCAGAGTGAGAAATTTCGCGTGGATGATTCAGACGCGCCTGATGACTTTTCGAGCGCAGTAAGATGGACTCGCAGATAAAAATCCCGGGTCACACGCGAGGCGTATCGAGAAGCGATCTCATCGAGGAAGAAAATCTGCAAAGAGCGCATGCTCGCCACCCTTTGCCGCGGGAGAGGAAGCCGTCCCCCGAGAGGGCGGAAGATTCCTGCGGATAAAAAAAAGGGCTCGGACTCATTCTCGTTTCACGGCGCAATTGCGCCGCGAGCGGACCGTGAACGTCATTGGTCGGCGCTCTCGCGGCGCCTGAATTTTTCATCCGCCTGAATAATGAATTAAATGTCCCACGACGACCCTCCGCGCGGAACGCAGCGGTGCGTGTAGGTGGACACACGCGCGTGCTGCACGGAGGCCCATAGGCGGTCCCGCCGGTTGTTAGGAAAGACTACAGAAGTGACCATCGCTTTGTATCCCGTTTCTCCCGTTGAGTCCTTCGACCGTTTCGGGAGACTCGCAGGGACGAGCGTCGCCGTGGGGAGAGGAGGGCCAGAGCAGAGGAGTGACGGCGGGGTGGAGCATGGGGGAGGACAAGGTGATAATTTGATAAGACATCGGGAGGGGTTGCCATGGAGACGATACAAAACCCAGAGTCTCGACTGGAACCCTCCGGCAGGCGCCTTCTCTCCTTCGTTGCTCTTTCCGTCCTCGAGGTACCTGCTCCTTCAGGACTTTGCTCCATCAACCCTGAGACACCGAAGTGTCAAGTGTCCTGCCGCCACTACTAACACCATCACCACCGCGACTGCCGCCTTGCTCCGCCGAATTTCTTGCCCAGTGCCTCGTAAGATTTCGACGTGCCCGACAGCGATGCTGTCGAAGACATAAACACGCATCGCGTGGATGCGGAAGAAGATAAAAGGATATTGCTATGGCAATAATCCGATATCATCGTTGTTGAGATGTGGCTTTCTCCTCATGGAGATATCTGTGACGTGTTAGGTAGCGAGGAATTTCTAACACCTGCTAGAGAGAGAGAGAGAGAGAGAGAGAGAGAGAGAGAGAGAGAGAGAGAGAGAGAGAGAGAGAGAGAGAGAGAAGGAGAGGAGGAGGGACTCTTATAAGTTCTCCCGATCGTATAAGTGACCATCCCCAACGAGAATCCAATCAGACGTTCCCGAGGATGATGCTCGCCACTCGTCCGATTTCAACCCAAGAGATCCTTCCTCCGTTCTAAGCCCGATAGTTGAAATATCCTCCACGAGACAAGAGATGACCCACTCGCGTGTCTCGCACAGACTCCACGTTGCGTCACAGAGCGAGATTCCATTCCAAGATTGGGGTGGCCATGATACCACCCGAAATCGTGGGAGCAAAGGACAAGAAGGCTAAATGCAAGAGAGAGAAACGGGGAATAGGGAAGCACACCCCGAAGGACATTACGATTATTACCGAGCGAAACTCGCAATGTGGGACTCGGCGTCCCTGAAATGCATCGGCCACATGTGCCGTATTCAACTGGATCCTCTCGAAAGGACTCGGTCCAGACGGTTGACTGCATTATTTATCGCAGCAACTCGCCGAACTAATTGATCCCTCGCATCCCCCGATAACGATACCCATCGGAATCACGAGCGCGACTTTCGTATAACGTCCGAAAGTTGACGAGCTGAAGTCGTCGAGACAATTGCCTGCCAAGCGGATTCAATCCGGGTAACTCTTTAGCGCTCCCAATCGATTGGTCTGAACGAAAGTCGAGTAATTTTGACCAAAATCCCGCAATGAGCTTACATTGCGATCGCTCACAGCGATGGAACTGGACGATGTCTATTAGCAACAAATTTTCCTCTATGGCAACTGACTCTTTTTGTGATGTGAACACTGTTTGCTAATAGCAACAGGGCGAATATCGATCGACCGAGGGAAGCAAATCCCCCGAAAGAAAGTTTCACTCTTCGAATCAAGCTTCACAAACTACTCACCGGTATGTATGTAGGTGTGTTTTTTCATGTCGCTCTTCTGGTGGAATCGCTTGCCGCAAAACTGGCAGGGATACGGTCTCGTATCCGAGTGGATCAGGAGGTGGGTACTGAGCGTGCTGGATCTCTTGAAAGCCTTGCCGCACTGTTTACACTCGAACACCTTTTCCGCGGAGTGTACGGCCCTGTGTTGCGTGAGGCTGATCTCGTGGCCGAAAGTTTTGTTGCACAGTTCACAGGCGAATGGTCGTTTGCCGTTGTGCGATCGCCTCGCGTGTACCTGCGAGAACGTATCGCTCATTGACATCTTTGAGTATATCATAAAATCATACGAGATAAATTAGTAAAGAGCCGCGACGGACTTGCGCTTCCGAGGGAAGCGCAAGAGGAAAAGCCAACGAGAAAGTGAGACATGACGACGTAACTGCATAATAATTTAGTCACGCGTAAAATTAGCAGATGCAGAGTATATAAAGTGAAATTTATGGAATGCAACACACATATAATACGCAGCATATAAAACAAAGATACCAAAGCCTGCGTCGCAACGCAAAAGTAAGACCTCTCTGCCTCATCGGCGGGGAATATTACTCGGAAAAATTGAAGAGTCGGTGGAAACAATCGCGTCCTGCAAGAATAATCAGCGCCGTCCCGGCGGCGCGGCGATTGACTCGTAAGAAGGCGGCGCGCGGGCGTCCGGGCGGATCTCACCGCGCCGACAGCGCGAACAAATCAGAAATGAATCAAAACGAGAGCTCGCGGACGCAGCCGGCGGGACGCAGCACGCCCGTAAAAAGAGCACGCGTCGCGCGCTCACGCACGCATACACCTACCTCGAGGCCATGCGGCGTGCTGAACATCTTGTCGCACTTGACACAGCTGTAAACGTCGCCGAGCGGATGGGGATGGTGCAGCCCGTGCGCCGTGTGGGTCGAGTGCAGTCCCGGGTGAGCCGGATGAACGCCGCGCAGCAGCAGGTGCGGCGGTAGAAGATGATGCGGCAGCAGCTGGGGGTGCAGGTACGAGAGGGGGTGATGCGGGTGAGGGGGCAGGAGCCCGCTCTGGAGGTGCAGCGGCGGGTAGAGGATGGACGAGCCGGGTGGCGGCGGATGAGCGCCGATCGCGGTGGTCTCTCTGTGCGGAGACGCATTCTGGACGTGAGCAGAGGGTGGATCCGGCCTGAGGAGAGCCGATACGCTGAAGCTGTCGCCGGATCTCTTCGGGGGGTGCGACACGGGCGACGTCGCGACGCTCACGGGCGGCGGAGACGGGGTGGACGACGATCGCGGTGGACTCGAGGTGTCCTCGTGATCGTCCTCGTCGCCGACCTCCTCGACGTCTACGTCCACTTCCTCCTCGACGTCAACGTCTACCTCGGCGTCTCGGCGGTCGGACGGCGGCGAGTCCGGGCACGGAGACTGCGACGGCGAGGGACTCCTCGTCGCCGGCGAGCCCACCAGGCGACCCACTCCGAAGGACAGACGTTCTGCAATTGAGCGTTTAATGGTGATGATTAATGACTGACTGCTGCGGCAGGGTGCGCCTTACTTGAGCATCGGTCGAGCATTCGTCGAATCGCAAAAAGGCTTCGTTTAAGCATCTCTGAGCAGGTAGACGTTTCGCGTAATTGATAAAGCAGAGTTCACACACGGACCAGTCACGGGACCAAGATGGCCAATCATTGGACGACGGCTGTGTCACGTATAAAGTACACGCGCGTGGGGTACGCTCTGGATACGAAAGAATCCGGCAAAGGAGAGCCACACGCGGGTAAATAGAGTTTCTTCTGGCAGAAGGACCCGAAGGTCAGAAATGAGATTTGAGTCACGTACTGGGCCTTTTTTTCTAGCGTGCTGGCGCGAGGGTGTTAAGGGGCGACGGGCAGGGCACGAAAGGTCATGACAGGGTCTCATGTTGCGCTAATGAGACGTCGCGAGGAGAGAAGCGAATAGTGAGGTGTCGAGAGCGAAAAAGTACTTCCGCGACGTGCTTTCGTGAAGCAGTGCCCTTAATGAGTTGCCCTCGCGCGCTCTTTCGGAATTTTTCATCCGCCGGAGTGTCGTGAGTCGTGATTAACCGTTAACAGCATTGTGAAATGAAATTACGCTCGAGTGTGATAAGGCGGGTTGGGGACGGGGTGGGAAGAAGGGGAAAAACGGGGGGGGGGAGGGAGATAAATAATGTGCCCGGCTGGGGTAAGCTCTTTAACCACACCTTCGTATGGCAGAATAGTTATAGAATAGGATAATAGATTGACGGGGTAACAGTTTTACCATGTCGTCGCTATTTATCGTTAGATGTTAATGAGACTGTCCGCTATATCACGTGTCACGTAATGATGTATTATGGCTCTAACGTACCGTGACTAATTAATTTACAACGGAGAGATTAAGCTTTCATCATTGTTGGAATATTAAATTAATATTTTCACGGTAACGGTCGCAAATTGCATCAGATCGCAATGTCGGTATCGCGCGTCAATCGGAATTTACTGTGCTCTCTCTCTGATTATCAAATCGATGATTTCTGACGCAGCTTTGATTTGTACGTCCGCGTCACTTTATCTGTCGCCCGGCTCGAATGAAATATGATTCAGTCGCGAATTTTGATGTATTTGTTAGATCAAGCGCGCGGAATGTGTTTACCCTGTTATCGTCGCAATGTAGATTTGCGCGCGCGCGCGCGCGCGTGTGATGAGAAAGTTTGGAGAAATCAAGATTCGATTACAAGATACGATTATCGGATCTCGCGATGCTCGACTGACTTGTCGGCCGTGTTATCTCGAACAAGCACATGATCCTGAATATTGCGGAAATAATATTTGCCGAACCGCGGCAATTTTGATAAAAGTCCGACTTCAACTGGCTGCAACTCGATATTACACAAACAACTATTGTAAAAAATATCCTTTCGCTGATAAGCGCACGAGTGGAGCTCCTTTGTGCAAAGTTCTCCTTTCGAGCAGGAACAAATGAGACACGGATGAAGCTCTTTCGGCGCCGAAATCGACGCGGTTTGAAGTCGAGTGTGTCCGGGAACTATTCACGGTATTTCTAATAATCACGATCCACCTCGTGATCGTCGTGATTTACAGCGACAGCAGGATCGCAGGATCGCAGGCGACCGCGTGTACACGCGTGTCGCGTCTTGAGGGAAGAAAGGGCGCGCTCTCGGCTCTATTTCACGAACCCTCGATTCGAGCCCGGCAATTTCGCATTGGACCATTCATATCGCGCGTCTCGCGCGCGCGCGCGCGCACACCCGGTATATTATATTTATAATCCGTGCGCGCGACACGCGGTCACGTGCCGGGCTGTGCGATGCACCGGTGTCGGTTAATCGCATTTAAAGCTCTCCGCGAGCCCCGTCGTTGGGGTCGATTATTATCGTGTCTCCTGGTGGCTTTGCAATCGAATCAAAATATGACTCGAGTCAGAGTGGCCTAATGTAATGAGAAACGCTCGCGCCTGCGGGGATCTGTCCGAGGAGACAGATAGGTGCTTCACTCTGCCGGTCAAAAACACAAAAGAAGACAAAAGGAGGGGCTAATGAAATTACAACCGTTATATCCCACTTTGTGTCTCTTTTTATACCGAGACGTGTCTGCGAAGGTATGTTATCCTAAACTTCAAATTCACGCGCTCTCTCTCTCTCTCTCTCTCTCTCTCTCTCTCTCTCTCTCGCTCTCGCTCTCTCACTCTTCCTCTGGAGCGATAACTTGCGTATTATTTTATCGATGTGAATCGCGGCTAGTCCGAAAGCGTTGGATACCGGAACTGATCAATCTGAAGCATCACCCAAACACACAAACGCTTGGAAACGCGAATGAAATTTATTTACAGCCGCATTCGCGGCGTTCCGCTCGAGAAAAATCGCGAAGAGCACTTGGTCAAATCACTTGATGATTACTGCAATAAGCGGCTTCACGCGATACCGTCGGAAGGGAGGTAGAGGGGGAGGGGGAGGGGGAGGGATCGAGACGGCAGTTTGAGCAAAAAGGAGAAGGAAGTCCGGACAGATGTGAGTCGCAGCGAGATAGGAAGAACTGCTTACGCAAATGCCGCGTCTGGGTCGACTGGAATGCGCTAAAAACGGGTAGTGCGAGAACCGGCGAGAAAAACGCCCCGCGACCGTCCGGCAGATGGGTTAACTTTGGTCCGGGTTTGACGGAGGCTGCGTTAGAGACGCGTTCACGCACACATGCATCTACGGCCGCGTCGCGATGCATCTCACGTGGTCCGCTTGGTAGTGGCTCCCAGCCCCCGATACAGTGAATGAAACTTCTTGAATCGACTTGAAAATGGTTTTTGCCACGGCGGCCCCCGCCACCGGCACGCATCGTAGCTCGGGCATGTTTGCGCAAAGTGCTCTCGCAGTTGCGGGATGAGCGAGGCAAAGTTTTCGGAGTGCAGCTACCATGTGGATATAGCGGATGATCTGGAGTGAGAACCTCACTTGTCATCTTGTTGTTCGTTAGCAGCGCACTCGTGCGCAACGCCGTAAATAAAAAATAAGTTTATTAAGCTTATCATCGGAGAACTTGCGTGAAAATATTCCCGCAGAGAGTAACTCGTCACCGTTATCGTTACACTTTCGTTTCACTTTTTTCACTAAATCTTGAACATCTTTTTTTTGTAAAACCTATTTTTTTGTAAAAACTCGCTCCTGCCCATTTCGCGTACATGTGTTCTGTATGTACGCCACGTAACGATCATATTCGTTAGCGTTAATCAAGGAATGTAATTGCATTACTGTCACCGTTGCTGGTAAAAACGGTAATGTCATTACCGAGTCGTTAACGAAACAAATAAACTTGCAACGGTGGTTTTCCAGGCCTGCGTTGAAATGTGCGTTGGGAGGGTACTTTGAGACACACGAATACATTTCGCTTGCAAATGTTTGGGAAGCGAAATTTCGACGCGCGCAGTCGTTAATCGATATGTGGAATATTTTTAATGAGTAAACTCAATCGAGACGATTTTTCAGCGTGTATGCGTTTCACGCGGCGAAACGGCAGACCGGTTCGTGACAAGGGGATGACGACGATGCCGAAGACGGTTGTGGACGTGGATTAATAAAGGAAGGCCAAGTCGGGGGGACAATTAGATCGAGTTAACGGCCAACTTTAATCTTCTGTCGTCCGTCAGTCGTTTACTGCGTAGCGATCTACGGCTATTAAAGCCGTTACACACTTCACGTTCAAGCCCCTTCTTCTGTGAAGCCGGCTCATGAAAAAGAATGCGCGCGATCTTTGCTGTCATGGCGGCTGTCAGCGAAGCCGAGCGACAGGACGATGTGGGTTTTCAAAAACAGATTTTTACCCGGGCATCAGTCTCTAATGAAAGCCTAATCTTATCGTGAAGGGTGCGATATCAGAGTATATAGATGAACAAAAAAAATAGGAGGAGAAATTTTAACTCAAATAGACTTTGATTAATCGGAGACGATAAATTATATACAAGTAGTAGAAAAGTAAAGTATATATATATATATATATACACAAGTATAAATATACAAGTAAATAATGCGCAAAACATACTTTTCCCCTTATATTATACGCTGCAATACGTTACTTTTATTTTCTCTTATTTTTATTCATATTGTGCAATTTTTAATGTACCTATTTGAATGACTTTTAGAACTGAACGAGTGACATTAATGTTCCTTCTTATTGTATGCGCAAATGCTAAATCTTTCATCGATAATCCGAGTTTGTCGGAGATTCCCACTTCATCGATGCTATACGCTTTAATGATGATAAATCACTTTTTATCTGGGAATAGCCTTCCTAAAAATACCCCTTCTTCCCTCCTTTGCACGACGATGCAGATGATAGTAATAATCCATGTAAATAATAATAATACGAAATTGCTGAAGAAACGCCATGTTTGCGCACTGCGAATCTTGAAGGAGTGGAGCTGGTGATGGAAGAGCGACGATAAAAGTATCGCGGCCGATCTTATCACGGCGAGAAACGACGATGGGCAGATGAATGGCCACGTGCACGCGCTGAGTGCACACGGGAGGAGTAGGAAGAGTATGCACGGGCGTTTAACATGACAAGATGTTACTAATTCAGGGTAGGTACGAGCACAAAGGGGCCGACGGTCCGAATCCCTGTGCCCGCGCCTCTAATCTGCTCCAATTGGGCCGGCAGGAGTTAGAAAGGCCCATGTCCGTCCGCGGCATGACGCGTGCTACCATTTATCCCAATCGTCGGACGACCGGTCGTTCTTAATGATCGGCAAATAAAAACCCGCCGTCATCCGGGCTCGAGGAGGAAGCCATCATCGGGGGCGAAAGGTCGGCGCTACAACCCGCGCGTCTACACCTTTCGGAGAGAAATGAGAGGCAAACAGTGCACAAAAGATGTACGGCAGCCGATTGTAAATCTAAAATGCGACGCAGTTTCTTGGACAATTATCTCAAATCAGCGACGGAAATCAGTGATATTAAAAAAAAAAAAAAAGAAGACGAATGACTTTTATCAGAGAGGAAAAATATTCAGTTGCAGTCACACAGTAGAAATCACACAGAGAATTTCAAGTTAAAATTGAAACTTATAATCACTCGTTATATCATAAGAAGCTAGTGTGTACAATATTTTTTAATTCGCTTTAAAAGAATTTGATTGTATGAATTTTCCTTCTTTTTTAACTATTTAATTAACTATTTAACTTTTTTAACTATTCTAACAATTTTTCTTATTGGGATGTATTTGAAAAGAATTATGAATTATGTACATCATACGGTGTTCAGGTTTATATGTATTCGGTATTCAGATTTATATGTATGGGTCGCTCGTGTGATGTGTCAAGCGCGGAAAATCGAGGGTACCCAAGTTCGACGTCGAAAGATTTTTTACAGTATGGTGATCTAATTCGATGGAATATGCGAACTTGCCGATAAAGTGAATTACGGACTCTACCCACAGCGCACACATACCTGAGTGACTCTTTGGTAAAGGCGGCAAGTTTGTGACTTCCGTGGTATTCCCGAAAGGTGCCCACAGTCTCGGAAACATTAAACGAACATTGCAGCCGCCTGAAATGAAAAGGAAAGAAGCGTTACAATTATTAAGTCATTAATAAGTCATTTGTAGACAAACTGAATCTGTATGTTCTCTATTGAACTGAGGAAAGTAAAGTAACTCAGGATGTAAAATGTGTGTAAGTACGTGCGCGTATATCTGTTTACTAGATTACAGTATTTATTTGATACATATATCAATTTATTGAAATTCTCTGAATCCTGATAAAATTCTCGGAACATTTCAACAAGTTGTTCTCGAGTTTTCTTTTCTCCAGATAGTGGATACCCGCGATGTGTGCGCGAAATCCGATACGAAAAGATGGCGACGCAAACGGCGAAACGATCGCGCATTTTTCCCAATCGTTTATGCATCGTTACACCACCGACCACTAACGTGCAGCAATGACATCTCAAGTCCTGACAAATTTAGTATTCCTGGCCCGTAGGAAAGATCAACCCCTCGACAAGAGCGTCTTTATTAGAAAGGAGGAGAAACCCTCCTCTATTTATCAACCTTGCTCCGGCCATTACTCGCTCTCTTTCTCCCCGAAACCTGCATTCCTATCCCCGAACATCCGCCATCCATCCTGGCTGGTTTCTTTGATCGTTCTGCTGGAGCATCAAAGTTCGAACTTCACGCCAAATCGCTGGCCCGGCGATTAATCAGACGATACGGAATTCTCGCCGTCCGCTTAACGCAAGCAATATGAAAAATTATGCGACACGTCTAATTATCACCTCGGTGCGACTACATCGACGTGTCGGAAAAATTGCAGACCTGATTACTCGTTCGCGGCAATTTTCTTTGCCCTGTCGTCGAACATGAGACGATTACTGTACCGTACTGATAAATAAAATCGATGATTCAATATATCTAATTTATGTTTAAGCTTCGGATTATTTCGCGACACACACATAAGTATCCGTTTTATTGCTCAATAATACGGGAGTTAACAACTTGCAATATCAAAATAGCGCGCGGTAACAAAGAAATCTGCAACCATAGCAATGAGGAATTAATCGCGATAATCGAGAGAGTTGCGGTCCGGCCGACAAACGAACGTGCCGTAATCCATGTCGGCTTTCTTTTACATAGACGCGATAAAATATCAAATCCGAGCTTTACGACGATGAGCGCAATCCAGATTGTCTATCTAATCGTTCGACTCGATCGCACTAAATCAGTTCTGTCTTCTTCTATATCGGTGTAGTATGCGTCATTCGACGGCCACTTCATTTCACTATCGAGTAAGGACGAAAAAGAGTTGTTAACAAAAAATGAAAGGTAAAATGAAACTTTACAGCCCTGTGATAGGTGGTATTACTGAATCGGCGCGAAATACAACATATGCCGCAATATTCTATTTTAATAATAATAGATAGTTGCGTCTGTGTGCGCGTGTGAGTGTGTGCACTTTGATTATACCGATTGCGTTTTATCTTCAAATCAAGTTCAAACTTATTTTAGAAATGATATCAAACTCACCGGGGGAAATCGTACATTAAAATAAAAATATATCAGTGATCGATTATAACAAATGGCAAACGATAAATAAAGTCAATTGCGCAGAGATAAAACGCCGACGTTTCGGTAATAAAGGGACCGGAAAATAAAAATATTGCTTCATTTTAGTTACAACAATTATCCTTCGAATAATAAATTCATCGTCAACTCGGTATGCTGATGCATCTTCGCAAACACTGCTCTCAGCGCGATTGCCGTGAAAACGCAGAGATCGATTGTATCGATAGATAGAACCGAACCGCCGCCCCGGCGCGGCGGGGCGGTTATACCGAGAACCAACGAAAAAAAAAAAAGAAAAACACGAGAGAAATCCGTAATCCCTGCAATATAGGACCGGCCGGGATAATCTGAGATAGCGTGGAGAGATTAGACGCTCCGCGCCGCAAAGACTGTCTCATTCTCGTAGGATTATCAGAAATAAATCATATTTTCCTATATAGGGAGAGAGGGAGAAAGAGAGAAGGAGAGAGGGAGAGGGAGAGGAAGAGAGAGAGAGAGAGAGAGAGAGCGTACGCGCGCGGTGCGCTCTCGAGATAAGGTGGTTGGGTATAACAACATCGATACGTTTGTATACACAATGCAGGTAAAGCGTGTTTGTCAGCCGACGAGAGAGAGAGAGAGAGAGAAAGAGAGAGAGAGAGAGAGAGAGAAAGAGAGAGAGAGCATCGGCGCGATATCGGTGCCGTTTGCTCGCGCGACGCTTATCCTGTGTAGTCCGTTTCGCGCTATCGTCCGGTCGTAAATCTATAAAACGGCAAAGCCAGCGTGATTTCCCGACCGTGAAGACCACCGACGAATGCATCTGCGATGAATCGACAGGCCGGCAAGATCAATCCTCTCTGACATCGGAAGAATCGTCCCTTCGGAAGCGGCACCGACGTCGCGGTGAAGGAATCTCACGCGGTCGAACATGGCGGAGACGCGGGATTAACACGGAAGTGACGTGATGATGAAGAAAATGGACTTTGCACGATTGCATCGGACGATTGCGGTCGAGCATTCTTCACCGGTTTTCATTAGAAACGACGCCCGCAAGTTCGCGTATTTGGCGAAACCTACGAGAGAGAGAGAGAGAGAGAGAGAGAGAGAGAGAGAGAGAGAGAGAGAGAGAGAGAGAGAGAGAGAGAGAGAGAGAGAGAGAGAGAGAGAGAGTGAGGTGCGCTCCCAAGCTCGGAGAAGCGCGACATGTTGCGCACTTGCTCTCACACTCTTGCGCGTGACTTTCTCGAGGAAGCGAGAGAGAATCCACCCTCGCTGCAACTATCACATTTATTCGGTAAATAATGTTAAACGCGAAAGAGACAGCCGTCGGCGGTTACGGACGGCGGCGGGAGAAGATCAGCGAACCCTCTCGACGAGAGCTGCCTATCACCTGGCAATTATCCCTTAAACCGCTCCAGCTCAACGCCTATGGCTCGATATTATTGCGTTTAACCTGTTACCGCGATTAGTAGTCGGGTATTAGTATAGGCAGCCATCTAATGCCGCCAACCATCCCCTCTCACCTGTTGAACGAACGGACCGTTGTGCAGCACGGCCCCTACGCACCTGTGCGCGCGTGTGTTCGTGCGTGCGTGCGTGCGTGCGTGCGTGCGTGCGTGCGTAGAGCACCGCGTGCGCGCCGCGGAGCCGCGCGCGAGTCGCACGCGTGTGCGTGGCGCAAGCTCAGGTGTCGACGCGAGCCCGGAAGCTACCGCGTAAACGCCACGCCGCTGGGATAATAGGCAGGTAATAGATAGGATGATGACAGGCGAGAGATGGCAGGGGGTGAGTGGTCGGGGGCGCTTCGTCAGCGAGCGTCAGCCGCAGGGACGTCAAAGGCTCAGGCTATGCGATATGCGCATTTCGACTGATTATTTCGGATATACGTTTCCTCTCTTCCTGCCTCCCTTCCTGACCCCCCTCCGCGGGGAATGCCACCGGTGCGGATCCGCGCTCACCGGCTCGATCGGTTTGTGAGGAGGGGGGAGGTGTGCTGGTTGGGGGATAATTGATGGGGACCGGGTTTTTAATTACGATAATGCGCCGCCCGTGGGCTCGCGTAATCCTGACGTGCAATCCTGAGCTCCGAGAAGCGATAATGCGTGTGTGATGTGTCGCGTGCTGCTCCTCCACGCTTTCGTGAGATTGAGATGCGGAAGCGACGCGCGAGAAGCTGACTTCTCTTTGACCGAGAACTTTCATCTATTTTAATAGACGGTATCGACGTCATTTTATGACTTAACCAGCGCTGCGTTTTTCCTGGGAATATTATATTGATTCTATTAATGTCGTATAATTGTCGGATTAATATCGTTGTCCTCACGTGGCGTATCGTTAGCGTAAGGAAGACTATCATCTCTCGGACGTGTCCGAACTCTATTAGTTCTCCATCTTAACTAACAATATGAGAACCAAAATGCAGTGAGAGAGAGAGAGAGAGAGAGAGAGAGAGAGAGAGAGAGAGGCAAGATGTTCGAGTTGGCGGGCTGAAATTCGCCGAGAATAATAGCTGTCATCGCCAATCGTGATGGTCATCAGTAGATTAGCGTTAGCAGACAAATTAGTGGGATAAACAATCCTCTAAAACATATCAGTCTTACCCTCAGCGTCGATGGGTATCTGCGGATTCTCTTGAAGATTCTCATTGTTGTTGGTTTCCGGCGGCAACGGCTGCTGGTGCACGAGCGACGAAGCCGGCTGTTTGGGCTTGACAACCCGAAACGCTGACGCCTCGGCCACCCCCCGTCTCGAGAAGTCCAGCGGACCCACCCCGACAGGCGAGTGTTGTTGCTGCACTTCCATCATCCTGGACCTCGAGTCTGTTCACCCTCTTACAACTTCCGCGTCACTGCACACGACATTCGCATCCTCCTCCACGTTCCTCAGCACCACGCTTACGGTCTTTACGTTTCCTCAACAATAAACCGACGTGCACGATTTTTTCCGCAATCCTACGACTCCCTACGCTTGAACGGAAGCCCTCTGGAGGTGCAGTCCGGTCTTCCTGGATTCCCCGTGGATCTTACGCGATTTTCGACAGGACAGCAGCGAGCTTAGTTAGAGAGACGGTCTATGGCGGAGGGTGGTTCTTCGAGAATACGGCTCTCGTCTCAAGCGGCAATATGCACAAGCGATGAAGCGGGTCCGATGTGAAACCATCTGTTCGCAGACTTCATCCTTCCAGGAGGCGTCGGTCGACCTCGAAGCGGCGTACTCAGCACAAGCACTCCAAGTTCCTCCGCGGGCACAGTCAGGAAGACACTCGAAGCAGCCTGCTGATCACGATTCGTCAACACCTGCTGCTGCTGGACAGATCGACGTAGGACAGCTCTGGCCGACTTGGCGGCGACGGTGAATACGTGTCGCGCGCAAAAGGGCCTTCCGATTATCAGCGACACTGATTTCCTCGCGGTCCATCGGCCGGACAGGACAGCTCGGGAACGGCCAGCACCGGCTCAAGCCCGGGGATGTGAGAGACGTTAGCCGTTAGAGCGGGTGCCTCGACGTCGACTGCTGTTAACGGGTCTGATAGTGGAGGGACTCTCATGCGATGACGGCCGGAGAGCGTCGCTCTCGGGGCAAGAGTGAGACGGAGAGATCCACACGAACACGACGCTCACACTGCCGGCGTCCACACAGAGAGGGAGAACATCCACACGGACGTTCGATACACAGCAGGATTTTAGTCTCGAGCTCCGCCTTCCAGGCACGCCCTCGCAATTTCTACTCCACCCACACCAACACCAGGCTGTTTTGCGCGTCCGCGATGCGACGCGACGCGCCGACACACGAGCGGCAAGTCGATTTCGCAGAGAAGTGGGGTTGCGACGCTACCGAGCGCCGTTGCTCCGACGTCGACGGTGGGGTTGCTGATGGGGGTCCGCACTTCTGTATGGGTGCGTTTTACAGACATGTCTGCGTGCGTATGCGGCCGCGAACTGCACCGCCGCCGCCGAACACGAAACACACGTTGCGCTCGACGCTCTCTCACCTCACCGGTTGCAGCATTATGTGGAACCACTCGGCCACCCTGATTCCACTCTTGACTCCACTGATTGATATTTGCGCGCTGGCCCCGCACACTTGGACGTACGTGCACGTACGTGCCAACCCGGCTTCCGTCCTTCACCACCGTGGTGAAGGTGGGATGCTGGCAGGAACGGCCGAGCATCTTAGAAAATTTAGGCAAGGTTGCCCGAAGGCGATAGGGTAGCTTGCGCCTTTATGGCCGCAGGGGTGATTTCTGATATCTCTCTCTCTCTCTCTCTCTCTCAGGTGAGATTTCAAAAGAGAAATGAAATCTTGCTGGGGGCTCGCGACGAGTATTTAGATCACGTAGGTTCTCTGAAGGAGTTGGGGGGGGGTGTGTTCCCGGTTCATATTTTTCTGCCTTTCGCGCGGAAGCGAGCTCGAGGGAGACGAGAGGCCAGCTTCACACGATGCTCAGGAAGAGCGATAGAAGAGCGATAGGACGCGATAATAACGTGATTGTGTAATGAGCTCCAGGAGAAAAACCTACCTCGGGCGGTTTCTTCCTCGCAAATTTGCTGCAGGACGATGAACCTGAGTCGCGATTGGAGGACGCGTCAGAGAGTGATTTTCCGCTGAGATATACCTGTACGGAACGTTAATATCAGTTGATCAGGATTTCGCGCGACGTTGTACAAATCCTTCGCGACAGCTCGTTTTCGGGTAAACACGGGTAGGACGGTCGCTTTATCTTAAATTTTCACGAAATTCAATGTATCTCCGATAGGAGAACGTCGGACGCCTTTTATGATACGCGCGAAGGGATAAATCCGGCGCGATATCGGGCGGTAATAAAAATTTATCGTGCGCCTCAAACACAGTTTTAACATCGCCGAAACCGTCCCGGCGCGACTTCCAGCCGATAATCCGGAATTTTCGGTGCAACGACACGTCTCTCACGTATGTATAGCCCGATAAGGCTGTGTGTGCGGTCGGCTTAACTTTTTGTCACCAGGAATATCCTCTCGGCAGTACCGTTGTCTGGCCGTCGCCTTTCTTTCCGCGTTTTAATATCCGGCGCGCGTGAAGCGCGTCCTCGTCGCTGGTCCACCGGATGCATCGACCGCGGGGGAGGGAGCCAGCTCGCGCGTCAACTCGTCGCGCCTCTTCCGCGCGTCGTCGCTCGCTCGTTGCTCGATAAAGAACGAGATTATGATTCGATTATAGAATGCCGCCCCGGTCCCGGCCGATGTGAAGAATGCGTCGATTTCGCGCGAGACGGAATTGGCGAGAGTGCGCAGTTATTCCTCGCGCCTCCCCCGCCGCCTCCGTCGCTCATTCCGCGTGCTCATTTCCTTATCGCGATTCGCACGACAAAATTCGTCGTGATAATCGCTTGCGTTCGGCATACGAGAAACGTAGCCAAGATTAACAATTATCCATTCTGCCGCGAGCATCGACGCTGCTCTCGATATTTCGCAGATAACTTATCTCTCGAGCGCTGCGCTTCATCTCCCTCTCTCTCTCTCTCTCTCTCTCTCTCTCTCTCTCTCTGTCTCTTGGCTTGTGACGCGTAATTCGATACACCTACCGCATAGACTGCACCCTGCTAAGCCGCGAAGTTGCATGACATACGGTTACTTCTCTCCTTTCTAATAGTCGCGAGTACTTATGTAAAGCTGTCGAGAGAGAGAGAGAGAGAGAGAGAGAGAGAGAGAGAGAGAGAGAGAGAGAGAGAGAGAGAGGACGCGTGTGTCATCCATTTATTAAATTCATCGCGAGCCGGTTTTCCTCGGTGGTGCAATATCCCATCCTTCTCCGGTGAAAAAAGTTAGCGGCGCAGTGCATGTAACGGAGGGAAGCTTAACTAAATTTTCCAGGAAAGGACGCCGCATCTCTCTTTCCCCGGTAGATCATTCTCCGCGCGTACGCTGGGAAATCGAGGCGCAGCGGTTGCGGGGTAGTTGAGCCGCGGCTGAATGCGCAAGGTGTGTGTAGCCGGGGTGTACTACCGAGAGTGTCGTCGTCTGGGGCGTAAGTATCCGCGAGCGTGACGCGAGACGAGATGTTGGACGTCAGGCGAGACCGACAAACCGCATCAATCATACTCACTCACTCGCTCGCATCGCCGTACGTTCTCCCTGGAGCACCGAGGACGTCCCAGGGCCGCTCTATCTTCGGGAGAAAATTGCTTACTCTCATACCGCGAATACGGGAACGACGGCTCTCCTCCCGGCAGCGCGACGCAGGCGTGTGAAAAGCCGCACGACACCCCCGGCGTGTCGTACTCGGCGAGAAACGAAAAAGAGGAAAAAAAGGAAAAGAAAAGAAAGAAAGAAAAGCAAGGGGGAGCAGGGGAGTCGGCGAGGATGAGAGCGCGACGATGAAAATTACGAGGTCATGACAAAAGCGTCGGTTACGCAGGGCTTCCTTTTGTGTGTAATTTAAGGATCTCTGAAGGAAGTTACAACTGACTCGCCGTGAGGAGTCCAGCCAAGAAACTATCTGCAACATTGTTACCTTTTAAACATTCTTGCAGCTTGCCCCAGCATTATTAGCTTTGCTGCTGGGATTTCGATGTTTCTATTCGCAATATGTATAACCTTTCTACTCGCTCGTGAAGATATAAGAAAGAAAATGTGAGGTCGAAGTGTCGGTCTTATCTTCGGCGACTTATCTTGTGAAAATCTCTAACGAATGTCATTTGTGTGTAACTCGCTATGAGTCTGCCGCGTCGTACACAATCAAGCAACTACCTGAAACTGGCTACTTACAACATTTCTTTGTGATTTCTTCGCTTCTCAGGAATCTTGTCTCAAATAAATGAGATTTTGACCATCCATAGAAATAACACGTGAAAGAAAGAATAAACTGGAGATTCCCGCAATTTTACCTGCAATCTTTTCACGACGAGAGCTTTCATGACTCACTTGGTTTTGAAAGCAAATCAAACATTCCGGTATCCGCTACAGAATATGTCTAATTCGTTACGCCTTTCTACGTCCATCACTTCGATTTCAACGAACAAGGTTTCCACTCATCTCTATCGTGCGCTCCAAGCCGTAAAAACGCTTCATACTTTGACGAATAGGCAGGCGAACGTTCAAGAATGCAACGGTGGAACTGTACACTCGTGACATACATTTGCACCGCCGGGGCCGCTATAAAAATTTTCGCCTTTGTCGCGCAATTTTCACTTTCGCGAGCGGAAAATGAAGTTCTCTCGCTCGTTGTTGACTGCAATTCATCCGTGGCATGTCGCACGAGAAATCGACGCTATTGCGCCACGCACGTGCGAGAGAAGTGACATCATCGCTGACCCGCATTAATTAAGTATCGATACGCGGTATCATTGAGACAACGGACGTCCACACATTTTAGCCGAGCCGGCACCACCACCTTGGCAGACTAGTCGGACAACGCCGGATACGCAGCGGGCGGCCGGCTGGCGCCACGAATTTAGACTTGATTGTCCCGTCGAACAATTGTTTCGCCGGTGGTAAATGCGAGAGAAGAGACCGCGGGTGTCTCTCTCTCTCTCTCTCTCTCTCTCTCCTCTTCTTCCTCCTGCCCTCTCACTCCGTCTCTCTTTCTCGCGTCGGAGTGGACGAGACGCCGCTCGGCGGGCAGCATGACTCACTCTCAATCAAGGAGAGAAACATATTAGCGATTGTCTTTACCAATTGGGGATATGTGGGTGATGATTATCGCGCCGGCCGAGAGAGCGATACGTGTAAAATACGTATCGTGAAGCGACGCGTACAATTATCGCGCGCGCGCGCGGGCTACAGATGGACCCCTGCGGGTAGACGAACGATCGCTTTGCCGTAAGTACACGCTATCTGGAAACTGGAACGTAATTGGCAGAAATTGGTCCAATTTAAAGCGATTAGTCCGGATCCACGGAGGAAGAATCCGGGCGCGAGTATCGGTCGATCGGTGATTCGATCGAGGAGCTCGAGATGTTTTTCGAAGGAGGCTTATCGTCCGGCTTTCTACCGCCCGCCAATTGCCGATATCTTGGAAAATTTTCAACGACGCGTGCGCAATCGCGCGCGCTGCAAAGTCGCTCGTTTTTGCCTTAGTCGGCTTTTAATTTATTACTCGATTTGCTCTTTCTCGCAATTGCGCACGCGCGGCTCCGTTATTTCACTGAATTCGGCAAACGCGAATTACTTCCTGCTGCCGGCGTAATGCAGTGACGGGGGCTATTTCTAATTAATGCCGCGTGTCAATTCCGCATGTTCGCGACATCCCGCCGCGTTATCGCCGCGCCGCTGCTGCATCCCGTACGTATGACACAGGATTTCGAAACTGTCGGTCGCGCGCGATGGATCCGAAAATGACAACAGCAAACAACGACGCGCCGGCATTAATGAGGGGAGCTTCGCCGAATCGCCGTCGCTCGTATCTAATCGGCCACGCGCGATCATCGCGACGTATGCGATTTAAATCCGTGGAGATCGATGGTTCCCGATGAGTTTCTGGCCGTCGGATCATCGCTTAATAAGACACCGCGTGTCATCGCGATCACGGCAAGGCCGCGGCTGAGTTCACCGTAACGAAAACAGTTCTGCCCGCTTTTGTGCGCTCGCGACGGAAACAAAGCTTTCGCCGCGTCACGCTTCCGAATATCGCCCCCGCGCTGATTATCGGCTCGTTAGGTCATTGTACCACATAAACAATCGAGATAAGCATGCTTAATCCGGATTACCGTATCCGAGCTGGGGCCTCTTTTACGACGAATCGCGCAACTGCGTCGAAAATTCGTCGTCTCTCTTGTGCAATTTCAGCGATTGAGAATTCGCCCCCAAGAAAGAGACGCGTGGATTCTATTGTTGTCTTTGCTTCGCGATGTTGATTGATCTCGATCTCGAGCCGAATCGTTGCCTCGACGATTACGGCAACCTGTCGTCATCGAGGGGGGATTAATCC